TGCATGTTTTTGGTCGACTGGACCTAGGCTTCGGTCAACCGGACTGCACCAAAATTATTTCCTACTTTGTTTTTCTTGAACTTTTTTGTCGTTTTCGCCGTTTCTACAGTTTGCTCCCTTTGAGTTTGAGGTTGAGAGAAATTAAAAATATTATTTTCTTCTTAGCTCGCAACATCACCTTCATCCTCTTAAATGTTAAATATCTCATTGAGTATCTCATCATTCAGGTCAAATATTACAATGTAATTATGAAGAACTGTGTATGCCAATACAATATCAACTTGGTAGGAAAAGGGTAAGGGGGCTTAGCAGTGAGAATTTTAAAATGATTCTTCAAACAACCAAATGTATATTCAATCTTAGACATTAATGAAGAATGTCTAAGATTGAATAATTCTCTTGTATTTTGGGTGTTCTTTCTATTTGTTCCCTCAAATAGTAACAGACACCACGATATGGGGAGATGAAACCAGGCATGATCGTGTATCCAACATCACACAAGCAATTTTTACCTACAATTTTCATGATATAAAATGTTTATTAGTATTTTTTAACATTGCATTGAATATCAATATTATTGTTGAAGTAAATATGTAGGATTTAAAATTTTATTGAAATTACCATCAAATACTATCGGGCCATGAGGTTGTGACGTAGATAATGCATCTTCAATGACTCTAAAGTCGTTTGTAGAATCTTCCTACCCCGCTTATATGTAGGTGAATAGCTTGTTTGGAGTATACGTTGTTAGAACATTTTTTGTGACTCCTTTGCGGCCACGGAATCGTGGAGCAAGATTGGTGGATAACATAACATCAATATGTGTCTCATCTATCATACCTATGTAATCCTAAAGAGTATAAAATATTACTAGTGAATATTGCTAATCAAATTAAATAAACATGATTATATTCACAAAGTATAGAGTGCATACCTTAAAATAGGGTTGTTAATGATATGTCTTCATTCCATGCTTGTCTCAAGAAGTGTGGATGTATGTAGCAAATAGCTTCTAACACCTTCTTAAAATATCTACTTATAGTCTCGCTAGATCTAATAAAATGTGACCTAACAATTCGATATTTAGTTTTATTCCCCAATATATTCAAAGTCATAGCGACCTGGTCCTCCACTATAACATGTCTCGAGTCTCGTAACAAATCATTCCTCCTTATAATTTCTACAAGCTTCATAAATGCACCACTGCGCATTCTAACACAGTTAACACAACTATCATTGAATCCATTATATATCCAGTCCATGTGATCTTTTATAATTTTATATTGTTTTATTTTCTCCTCACTAGGACTCTAACGAATTGATCTACGTCTTCTTTGCATTCTCCTCAAACAGAGAGTGCGGCACCTAAGTACATGTTAATTATCGTCTCCTTATCAAGGTCACCATCCATCTATAATACTAGCATCATATTAAAGTATCTGTTAATATTATTTAAACAAATGAAATCACGCAATTATACCACATATGATAATCATTACATTGAATAAACAATCACCAGCTATCCAGTTCCACGATAAGCCTAACGAATAAACATAACGAATAAACAAAACAAATTAAATGAAGATTCTTACCTCAAATCAACTAGTGACGGCTGCCCAAAAACAAGGCGAGATTGCGGTCCGACGAGATTGTGGTCGGCTTTGCGGCTGGGATGAGATATTGTTAGCGGCTAGGGAAAAATGAGACTGCGTGGCGGCTGGGAAGGGAAAGGAGGAATAGGGAACGATGAGGAAGAAGATCGAGAGAGAAGAGTAGTGACGAGATCACATTTGGCGGGTAGGAAATAACGAGAGAAAACCGAACACTAGTTTCCCCTTTCTGATCGCTTGTGTACGGGAGAAGAATTTGAGAGCTTTTCTCTGTAATCGGGCTATCAAGGGTGGAAACCTTTCAACCAGAAAATCATAGCTGGCGTTACAATTTTCTCCCACTTTTTTTATTTTTGGCAAACCAAACAGTCAATTTTGGGGGAAAATATTAAAATTTTTCCAAGTCAGTTTTCTGGTGAGCTTTTTCTGCTGTTTTTAGTCCGACCAAACAGCCCCTTACAGTCTGATGGACATTCAAAAGTACTTGAAGTACTTTTTTTAAATGATATTGAAAACTTAATATACCACGTGAACTTACTCATTAATGTTGACATACATATATTTTTTGGACCCTTTTTTTGGATATTGGTCTCTTAAATCTTTATTAATTTGAATTAGTCCATCAAGTTATTGAATTCCTATCTAGTCCTTTCCAGTGGGGCTATTTTCAAACATCTAGTGGGTTTTCAGGGACTAAATAGATGGGCCCAAATGTGAAGAGATGATAGGCCACTTG